TAGACAATTAGACATACACACCACACCATAAGTAAAGGAAGCAATCCATATGTGCGGGACGGCAGCGGCAGCGGCAGCGGGACAGCAGCGGGACGATATGTGCGGTACCGCAAGTCACATTAAATCCATATGTGCGGCAGCGGAACGGCAGCGGGACGAAATGTGCGACATCGCAAGTGGCAAATTCAATAAGGGAAGTCATGTTGGCGCCTTTTTTGTTTTGAGCAGCATGGCACCTACCCAGTCAAAACTGTCTTGGAAAATGAAACAAGAACGAACACTGCTGATGATGATTATCTTCATCTTTTGTCACTAGCATAACGAACAGGTCCATGCATTCCTTTGCCATTCAGGACAGCCCAGAAGGCACCATTTGGGCATATCAAGAAAATTGGTGGATGAAAGACGACATAGGGGTGCAATGGTTTCAGCAAGTTTTCCGTGTCAAATGAATTGACTGCATCACACAGAGATTCTTCACAGTCAACCCTATTCCGCCACATTCATATTTTTGCCTGCGGCAGCGGCAGAATCGCTCCTGGGTGCGATTTTTATCGTCCCTTTGCCGTACCGCTGCTGTACCGCTGCCGTCCCGCTGCCGTCCCGCACTTAAGGATTCAGACATTGATTATATTGATATTTCTGTTGGAGCGATTTTTATCGTCCCGCTGCCGTGCCGCTGCCGCTGCCGCTGCCGTCCCGCACATATGGATTGTCACCTTTAGTCTACTCAGAGATGTAATAAGTAAGTCTTCCCAGAGATGAAACAAATTTTCTTATTGCCATTGGCAGTAATAAACACTACCCAATATTGTTCTTTGAAATGAAATAAAAATCACTCCTAATACCTGTTATGAAAAAATACAGGTAGCAGACAAGCTGCAAAACCATTGTGTTGTAGTGGTTTTTTAGTACTAGGTGAGTTGTTTTCTCTGTTCAGCTCATGTTTCAATGCAAGCTTTACGTAGACTAAAAGATATTCTTCAAAATAATTTGACTTACAACACATTGGAAAAAGAACAACAAACACAATGTATCCTAGTAGGTCAAAATACATAGGTAGCATGTACTTAATTGAAAAATGTTCTTACTTGTGAACGCTCAGCTTGAAGGATCAGAAAACAAAGGGGTAGTGATATTTCGATGGCTTGACGTCTGAAGATCGTAGTTGATATTTCCACGGCATGCTGTCTGAAATCGGAAGTGATGATACCTACATCATGCCGTCTCGAGTCTAAAGACCGGAATTGATATTTCGACGGCATAGGCCCTACTTGAAGTGTGTCAAAGCAAGGAATTTAATCCAAGGAGATGTGATGGAAGTACCCGGTGCGTGTACCGGTAAGCGACATAGATCTAGATCTAAACTACAATGCAAGTATATCTTACTTTACTTTACACATCGTACATAAAAAGTGTATTGCAAACGAAAATGAGTGATAAAATAATGTCATTTACATGCATTCAGGCAAAGCACGGGGTGCCAATTGGGGGATCGGGTCGGGTCGGTTTGCAAGCCAGATTGAGGGCGAAAAGCGGCTATCGAGGCACCCGCCGCCGATGGCGTCCCCTAGGCGACGAGTCGGGTGATCGTCCCGACCGGACCCGACCAGACCAGACCCGATCCCATCGGCAAATGAGCACCCCATTGTTGAAAAAAACAACAACAGTCTTCTCTCCATTCTGCTTGAACAAAATAAATGGTGCATCTCTCACTCTCGTTACAATCACACAAAACATTTCATCACTGTCCGCCATGACGTCTTGGACGGATTCCGAATAAAATTTCGGAGAACCGTACACTGTTGCTGGTGGCTGGTAATATAATATTATCTTCATGCCACCATTCACAGGGTCATCAGCAGCAGCATCACTATCAACCCTAGGTATTTCTCAGCATTAATGGATTTTCTTTATTTCTGTGCATCCAATCTAAGCGGCTTCCCTCGATCTTTGCCCACTGGTCCACGGCAAATTGTTGCGCCAGCCTCCTCATTTTGAATGCGATACTAAAACCATGAATGCGTCTTGGAGACGGAAGGCATACAAATCTACCGTAGTAAGGGTTCTGTTGTCTTGACGTTTGAAGTACAAGATGCCAGCCATCACATCCAGTGGGGAACATGGGCACATAGTGAAGGAAATCGTAAGAACGACGGCACGTACTGATCCTTCGTAATTCCTGACCATCTCCTTATCTACATCGTAGTATGATGTTCAAATTACCGGAGTGGTCTCCTAGTAGGAGTGCTGAAACTTCACATCATGAAGGTAAATTGTATGTTCTGGTGAGCCAATTTCTTGGGTGGAACCTTGCTGGCATGCAACACAATTTCAACATTTTTGTCTTCTGTGTCTACTTCAATTGCGGACTTGAAAGATGTAAAGTATGAATTGACTTTGCGAAGGCAAGCTTGAAGTTCATTCAAAATGTCTGGCCCTTAAAATGTCTGACAGTCGCAGCCTACCCTTAAGTTCTGTGGCAGAGTCCTGAAAAAAATCTGTGCAAACTTTGGTTCAGTTTCAGCAGTGGGAAGAAGAATTCCTAATAGGTGGTACAGCTTGACTTGGACTTTGAAGGTTGGATTGAAGCCCTGTCCAGCTTGTTCACTGCACCTAACTGAAGCAAGGTCGAGAGCATTATAGTATGACCTACAGTGTGGTAAGAAAGAGCCGCCGCTCTGTGTTACATCGTAATATTTCATTAGTTCCTGAAAGGGTGCGGGTGTACAGGTATACTAACTTTGCCATTTTGACAGGAGAATATTGTGTTTCTCTCTTCTCTCTATCTAATGGCATTGCAGTGCTCAGAGACAACACTGAATTCACCAGAGTCCTGTGTTCGTAATCTCCGACCAACTTCAGACCTTCAGTTTCACCAAAGGACTGTGCCCATCATGTCTTATTGCTACTGTTTCTGCTGATTATTGACTGCAACTCCACTGGGTTTCTTTGTCTCGCCCCCTTCTCTCCAAGTCCCCCGAAAGTGCAGGAAAGAAAAAAAATCGAAAAGCAACGTCTTATAAGTATACATGACAAAGTCATTACTGGCGTAATACGACTGCTCAGTCTACTGTGTTAATTACCGTGGATTGAGTGAGGGCTTAAAACTTGGAGCAGTTCACTGGTATAATGACGGGGAAGGACAGGTCTAATGACGAGAATCAATTATGTGGATCTGGATATCATCTTCAGACACCCGCGTGTAATTATCTCCCCTTGTTAGACATAAATAATAGCCTACGTTTTCATATCCTCTACAAATCATGTCATCAAATAAGTCTTATGCAAGCTGGATCTATAGATTTACACTGCTCTTTTTGTTTCCAAATAGCTTTTCATTGTGTGATTTCATAATGATTGTTAATTTAAGCTATTTCGTCGATTTCTTTTTAAAAAAATTAGTAAAGCGAAGTGTCTCAGAGGTGATATTGTTCAGTGCGAACAAATTATACGTAAAATTGTCTTCATTACCTCAAAGTAACAGTTGAAGAACAATGTCACCTTAGCACCAGGAATTACTCTTGACGTAATTGTGGCGTTCTGTAGATTCTTTGTGGAAAAAAGAGATGATGTTGGAGGTCGATAAATGAGTTACTATTAAGGACAGAGAAACGAGGAAGTAGAATTCGTTTTGAGTTTTGGTTGAGTATTTCGTGGGTAAGAGTTAGCGAGTTCAGAGCCATAGTAGTAAACATATTGTTAAACTTTTTGCAACTTTTGTTCCGTCAGATATACCTTCGACGTAGACGCTTTCGGAAATCCCCGTAGGCCTAGAGTTGATAAAACACTGCTTTATCCCAAGCCACTTGTTCAAGGAAAGGAAAAGGGAAACATTCATAGTGGGTACCGGACATTTTATTATGGTGCGTTATGTATCGAGAGTTAGACTGACGACGTGACTTTGGGGAGTCTCTAGAAAACTGTGTCTTTGATAAAGAGCAGTTGTGTCGCATTTCTGCCACATAAGCGCCGTGAAATACTTACCAAAACAAAAACAAACAAAAAACACCCAAAAAAACTAACCTGTATTCTTTAGAGCAAATGTTTGCATCGAGAGAAAGAGTGACTAGAGCTTAAATGAGTAGCAGCTAGAGGGACACGAGAGAGTGCGTGGACAGAGGGTTTGGTGGAAGGGCTGTCTATGTGCACTCACCACGAGAAAGTTTTCGTATTAAAAACCAATACAGACTGTTTTTAACATGGAAACCAGCCCCGCACCGAAAAGCCTGTTTGTTCCTTCTGAAACCTACGTGAGCACAGAGACTGTAAACTTCGTCGAGATTATCATCGACTTTTTCATCAACTTTGCCATCTCTTGCATGGGCGTGGTCACCAACATCCTAGTCATCGTCGTCTTTATTAAGCAAGGCTTCAGAGACAGCGTCAGCGTTTCCATGACTACCATCGCGGCCTGGGACTTGCTGAAATGTTGGAGCGGTGCCCTGCAGAGACTCGTGGGTCCCATGGAGCTTCTGTACCCGCGAGAAGCTCACAGCTGGAGAAATATCTCGCACATAGTGCTGAGTCACACCATTACGTTTTCCACCTACGTGACTAGCGCCCTAGCGGCGTACGTGGCTGTGGAGAGATGTCTCTGCGTCTGTTTCCCCCTCCACGTCAAGTGGCTGCTCACCAGGAAAATCTCCACCTTCATGTGCATCACCATTTCCGTCGTAGTCTTCGGCAGTTTTTGCGTCATGTTTGGAGCCTATGACTTAGTCTGGGTTTGGAACGCTCGATTTAACGGCACTGTGGCTATTTATAGGTACAGCTCATTTGCCTTGGCCAATGAAGGACATCTGTTTCCGTACTACAAAATGATTGGGATAGTGTGGCCCTTCCTCAGTTTTGGCGTGATCACATTCTGTACGTGCGTTATCTCACAGCGTTTGTACCAGGCATCCAGTTTCCGCAACAAACAAAAGGTAAGTATATCGCCCAAAACCTGATCCACTACTCTTTTTTGGGGGGGGGGGGGGGGGGTAAGTGTTTTGCGGCGCTCGCAACTGCATAAGGTCATATGAGCGCTCGGGACACATTTAACATTTCCAGTTGGTAGGACATTTATTGAGTTTTGCCCGGGTGGCGGCCGAAGCCTACTCTTATCCATTTTAGACCACAAAGGTATCTTTAACGTTCGGAACCTGCACACGGGACTTCCGAGATTTTCCGCTCTTGTCCGAGAAGGCTAGGTGTAGATCTTTCCTACCATAAGATCAGGGGTGTGGCTGAAAGACTGCAGTAAGAAGGAGCCAAGGAGTAGCAGTAGAAAGGCTGCAGAAAGAGCCAGGAGCCCAGAGGAGGGGGTAAACGAGGTGAAGGGGTGGGGGCAGAAAGTGGAGACGAAAGCAGACGACAGAACATTGCTAGAGAGCAGGAAAGGAAGTGAAAGGAGACAATTTTAGAGAAAAAATGCTTCCGTCGCTACCCGGATTCGAACCCGGAACCTTTGAATGAGAGGCGAACCCCTCAGCCTCTAGGCCACGAGAACCCCCTCAACGGCTCTAAGCTCACAAAGCTACATTTATTCTCAGAAGGGAGAAAACCCAAACTAGTTATCATTCTTTTAAAACTTGTACCGACATGCTGTATCTTTTCTTGCTTTTTTTTTCAACATTTAAAAATTGAGCTTTAACACAATATTTCCCGAACATACACAACTGATGGCATAGCACTGAGCAAGAAACTGCAAAAAAGGTTAAAATTTAATGTTGGGCTCAGTGCAGCAAAACAGCTGTCCACCGAGTCGTGTTTGTCCCACTTAATAAATCCTTTCACTGTAGCGTCGGTAGCGTGGTGGTTCGGCTGATGGGCTCGCAGCTGAAAGGTTGAGGGTTCTTAATTCTACTAGTACTGGCTGGGTCTAACATTAAGTCTTTTAAAAAAGTTTTTGGCTAAAAAATCTCCAAAAGGTAACTGCTGGGACAGTATGCTTATCTTGTATGTCAGTGTCTGAACAAACAAACATACAACGATATCTTGTATGTCAGTGTCTGAACAAACAAACATACAACGATATCTTGTAGGTCAGTGTCTGAAAAAACAAACATATAACGATATCTTGTAGGTCAGTGTCTGAACAAACAAACATATAACGATACCTTGTAGGTCAGTGTCTGAACAAACAAACATATAACGATATCTTGTAGGTCAGTATCTGAACAAACAAACATACAACGATATCTTGTAGGGCAGTATCTGAACAAACAAACATATAACGATATCTTGTAGGTCAGTATCTGAACAAACAAACATACAACGATATCTTGTAGGGCAGTATCTGAACAAACAAACATATAACGATATCTTGTAGGTCAGTATCTGAACAAACAAACATACAACGATATCTTGTAGGTCAGTATCTGAACAAACAAACATATAACGATGTCTTGTAGGTCAGTATCTGAACAAACAAACATACAACGGTATCTTGTATGTCAGTGTCTGAGCAAACATACAAAGGTATCTTGAATGTCAGTACCTGAGCAAATATAACGGTATCTTGTTTGTGAGTGTCTGAGTAAACAAACATACAACGGTATTTTGTATGTCAGTGTCTGAGCAAACATACAACGGCAGCTTGCACGGTATGCATCCCAATCAGCTGAGAAGGTCTGGTAGTTTCTTCTTTTTCTTCTTCTTCTTCTTCTTCTTCTTCTTCTCCTTCTTCTCCTTCTTCTCCTTCTTCTCCTTCTTTTTCTTCTTCTTCTTCTTCTTCTTCTTCTTCTTCTTCTTCTTCTTCTTCTTCTTCTGCTTCTATATCTCTGGGGTAGTCGACTGCTGCACATGGTTCTTCTACTCGCTAGATCTCTGGGGTAGTCGATGAGAAAAATCGGTGACGAAAGCAGACGTGCGACAGAGCAAGTTAGAGGGCAAGGAAGGGGGTGAAAGGAGAACATTTAAGGGAAGAAAATGTTACCATTGCAGTCTGGTTTTGAACCCGAGCCCTATTGAATGAGATGCGAACACCGTACCTCTTGACCACGGGAGCCCTTGTATCTGTAAAATACCCGACCATACTGATCTCAAACTTTTCATCTGTAATACCCCACCACGCTGATCTCAGACATTGTATCTGTAATATTATACCCCACCAGTCTGATCTCAAACCGTGTATCTGTAATTCCCCAGCACACTGATCTCAAACATTGCGTCCGTCTTAACCGACATGACGGTGAAAGATGAGACAAAAGAAAAGACTTCATAATTCTCAGGAGTGCTGGTGGTCATGGTAGGTATTCTGGTGTGGTTTGCTCCTTCTTTCCTATCTAATATCGTCCTTATCCCTCCCCCTCCCTTTCCCTCCCTCTTTTTGTGTTTGTTACTCTCTTGTAACACCTCCAATCTTCTGCATTTGTATGACCTTACTGTGTTGCAAGTGTCGTAAAACTCACACTAAAACTAAAAATTCTCAGGAGCGTGATGAGAAGAAAGCTCAACTTTCTCCCCGGGACAGACAGGTGGTCAAGATGCTGCTGGTCATCGTGGCGATCTACATCATCAGTTTATTTCCCCGGATCGCCGTCTACGTTGTGAGGATTTTCATCGACGATTTCTATTTCCTTGGAAAGTATCATAATATGTTTAAGGTAAGGTCTCGTCCTATCAGCTGGTGATAACGGCTGAATTAGAATTCTTTTTACTACTTGCAATGGTTTATTAAAACTCTTACCGGTATTGCCACTCCCAATACTATCTCATCTAGTGTCGGATCTGGGACAGACATCGGCGATCACGGTTCTCCATCAATTCGTCTGCTCGGATGCTCTTTAAAAAAGCCACACAATCCTGATCTCCCATCGTCGCCCATTCTGTTTAGGCTCTACAAGTATGTTGGTCTAGGTCTACCCCTGCCTCGTTTGCATTCAGTTTTGTCTGTTGGTAAGAGCTGGATGTTTTAGTGCTTTGAGGTCCGTATGTCTATTTAAGTGACCCACAAACAGCACTTAAGTCTCTTCCTGGTTGTTTTTATCAGCGAGCGGCGCACGTGGGCTGTTTCATGTACCAAGGACTACTACTGTTAGGTTGTTGTTGTTTTTCCTACCAAGAAATTCTCAACATTCTCCTATTTTTTTGTGTATGTCAAGTGTTTTACGCCCCCATCGACCCAATTCGTGAAGCATCGTGGTGAAATCAGGCTCTCGTCTAAATAATGAAATCGAAGATAGTGGCGTTTTTCTACCGGTTTGACAAGTTTTATTGAATTTTCTTTAGCTCAGCAGCTTTTATGTCCATTTATAAATGTTTTTTCTGTGGATGTTCCTGAAAAACGTGTTAAAGGCACAAAAATATAATTTTTCAGTTTCCAGGGACTCTCAAGCATTGAAAGATATTAAGCTTTGGCGGCCATTTTCTCGTTTATTTTACCTCTGAAAGAAGGCAACCCTTCCCTCTTCAATCACACATATTTCGACTTCTTTTAAAGATAGATGGGCATTTTTTCACAGAAAGATAGACAAATGATCAAGTTTTAAGATGACACAAATAACTGAAAAAGCCCAAAAATTTAAGAGTGCCTGATTTCACCTTGTCGTTACACATTTAGACTTTTAGATCATTCAGGCAGGAGGCAGGGTTCCAACCCTAAAAACGCCGATCGAATGATGCAAAGCAACACAGACATAGCTGTATCTATCCTAGACTAGCTGGGTACCCGTTTGATGAACGGACTCAAAAGAATCGATCGTCAAGTCATAGTGGAACCAGTGCGCACTGCTTGTGAACGGAAGCCTCATTTGTTTACAATGTGGTCTTAGAAGACCAACTTTCCCAAGATTATATCTAAACGAAACTAATGAAAAACTGAAAATTAAATAACAGTGACTTCAGACTCCTTAATATAGCCGTGTACCCGTTAAATGATTCCGAACCACGGTTGTTGTTGTTGTTTTTTTTCAATTCGAAAGTTAAGTTGTTCGGAAGTTTTAGGCGACCAAAGTGACGAACTTTCACAAATGTAATACATACATTATTCTTTTGAGAACATTGGAGGGCAGAAATGAGTGTCAGACCATGATGATAATAACTGATAGGGATCGTCTGCTATAAGAGGTGTGTTACTCGATTACCTCCTCCAGAGCGCGCATCTTGTTTTGTGGCACTTTACTTTAACTTAACGAAGAAGTCTAACTTTCTAATTTCTAGAGTAGACTTTACAGTCCTGTTATCTTCATCTGAAATTTACTCGTCTCAGCATGTGTACGATGGAATGTGCCATAATATTTTGTGTTTCTATTTTACAAAACACAGCTGATAAAAACCTGTATGTAAATTCTTTACCATACCGACAGGCCGAAAGGCTAGAACCCAGACGGCCGCTGTATCGGACTAGTAAAGTAAAGTGTTTCTATTTATTGTATTTGTATTTGGTGGATTGAATGTTCCCGTCTTTAATCTGCTGGGGATTGGGCATATTACAATTTTGTGTTTGCCTCGTCCCTTAAGAGTAAAAGTAGATGTTTGGTGGGCGCTCTGGTGTGGTATGCTCCTTCTTTTCTTTCAATCGTCTATCGTCTTTATCTCTCCTCCTTCTTCCCTATCAAACACCTATCGTCCTTATCTCTCCTTTTTTCCTATCAAACATCTATCGTCCTTATCTCTCCTCCTTCTTTCCTAATACATGGACATCTATCGTCCTTATCTCTCCTCCTTCTTTCCTAAAACATCCATCGTCCTTATCTCTCCTCCTTCTTTCCTATCAAACATCTATAGTCCTTATCTTCCCCCCTTTTTTCTTATCAAACATCTATCATCCTTATCTCTCCTCCTTCTTTTTTGTGTTTGCCACTCTCTTGTTGTAACACCTCTAAACTTCGGTACTTCTATGACCTAATTGTGTCGCAAGTGCCGTAACACGCTAACGAAAACAAAGAGTAAAAAAGAGAGGGTAACATCGCCACACGGCGGGAAAGCGTGCTGACATTTAAAGTAGTCACCTTTTCTCACAGTTTGTGATAACTTCCGCAACAGACAGAAACCCACCAGACACGTTCTGTTTTTCTCGTCCAACTTTAGCCTTCTCATTCTTGGTGTGGATTGACAAAGTCGGCTGCTTAATGACTGAACTGTGTCTAGCTGTTTTTACATTCTTTGAAAAATTTGCACCTGAACTGTGCATCTTTTGCGCTTTTTTTCAACATTTAGAATTCGAATTTCAACAAAATATTTCTCGGGCCCGTGCAACCAATACCACAGATAATATAAATAAATAATACATAAATGAATGAATTAATAAATGAATAAATAAATAAATAGGACGCACAAGATCTGAATAGCTGGTCTCTGATTTGCCGAGCAAATTTTAATGTTTAAAACTTCCTCTTCCTCAGATCGTCTCCTATTCTGTGTTCATCCTTGACTTTACTAACAGTGCCATCAACCTGTTCGTGTTTCTCGCCATGAGCTCCTCCTTCCGGGAAACGTTCTACCAGATTACCACAACCAGCCACCCGCCAGCCACCCGCCCGTCCACCATGGCGGGTCAGGCACGGCGGGAAGAAATCAAGAACTGACCTGACGCTACCAAACAAACTCTGTGACCGAACATTCACAGACTGAAACTTTACGATGAAAAAGTCCCTAACAAGCGAGGGGAAAAGAAAAATAAAAGATTTTAACACAATTATTTGTCGCGTACATTTAATGTTGCTCTCAAAATACTTAACCCTATCCGTACGCCCTGGAGTCATTTTGTACCCCCGGGGTTGTATTCTTCCCATTTTAGAATACTTCTAGTCTAGCACGAAGATCTCTTTGAAACTTTCAGTATTTCTCAAAAAATTAATCACTTTGATAGACTGCTATGCAAAGCGTACGGATCGGATTAACTAGCAAATTTCCTCTTTGGACAGTGGTGCCACAGAGTTCCCCACGTCGTATGGATACGATAGTAAAACACGACGTACGGATAGAGTTAAGAAGAAATTAGCATCCTCTTTACTGAGATCTTTGTTGTCAGCAGCTGCAGCATCTTTTTCCTCCTCCGACACGTCCTCTTCCAGCAGCTGTCAAGGAGCTTATTAACTAAAAACTCCTTGGCAGCTGTTCAAAGGCAGGGATATTCTGCACGTGGATGCCTGATCGGTCGGGCTGTGGTGGTACGTCTCGCGCAGCTTTTGTTTTCTTGTCTAACTCGTGACAGAACTCTTCAAACGTTAATTCCCCTTGACAAAAAAAGATAGCAAGCAAGTAGAATACGGTGCTAGTGGGTAAGTGAAAGTCATACTTCTTTTGTCTTCCTCTCAGTCATCTAGCTTTAGTTTTTTTCCCTACTACTAAAAGATCATTTGATTATTACATCAATGAGCTCCTCTTTACCTCAAAAACAAAAACTGGAAAAAATCCTCATTACATCTTGAGAAAAAACAAACTGGAAAAAATGCTCATTACATACTGTGGAAAAAATGCTCAAAACACCAATACTGTTCAAAACACTGCAAGAAAGATTTTAGTACATTTTGTATACCCTACTTCAGACGGGCTGATAGTCGAACCTGCCCCGACAGCCGCCTGTCCAAGACAACCACCTGTACAAATGACCACTTCCCACTCACATTTTTTGCTGTACATGTATTATAATGACACTATCCATAAGGACCACCTGCCCAAGAAGACCATGCTTCTTCTCCACAATCCAGAACTTCCCCCAATGTTTCCTATGTGTGACTATGCATATGAGACTGTGGATCATCACCTCTTCCACTGCGCAGCCCTAAATGGCATCAGAGCTACACTTCTCCTTCTTGTAAAGGAAATCGTGAAAAGATTGGTTGACTTTTTTCTTTATTTTCTCTTTGACATTTAATTTTCCATCTCTGTAACATTAAAATTTATACAAGCGTATTTATAGTGTCTCAGTTCATTGTCTACCTTTGTCAACAATGCAATCTCTTGAGCAGTGACCAAATTCAATAGTTATCTCAAGTCTTGCCAAGATGAACATTTTTCCGCTAAACTCAGAGAGCACATGTCGTAACTTTTTGTCAAAGTAGAAAACCATGATAGAAAGTATCTCCACACCTGAACTCATTTAACACCTTGATCAAGTCCTTTCATGTAAAAACGTCCAACTGCCAATTGTCTCAGCTTTCTATCAAAACTGTGTCCAATAGCACCTGAGACGTAATCATCACGCTATTCACCTTAGATTCAGCGTAAAAAAACCATCAGTTCCATTCTCCTCGAGGGAAGATATTTCACCAAGCATCTTTACCTTTGTGCCAGATATCACAGCCAAGATCAATGATGACAAGATGGGTCAAAATAACCCACCTTCTAAACTATCTCGCATTAGTACATGTACTCAAAAGGGACGTAAAACATTTACAGTCAGAAGGTACAGTGAAAAGGTAGCAAACATTATGTGTATAACTGTACCGTAACTCAATAGTGACAATAGTCAGGAAAAGGAAAATGAGCACAGAGAAAAAGAGGGGAGGGAGGAGGGGGAAAAGAATAAGCAGAGACGTGTGTAGAAAATAACTCTACGATTGTCACGTTAGGATACGAGACTACGCACTTTCACTTTCCACAGACATGATCTGTAAATTGTGTCATTTCCCTTCTCTTGAGCACACGAGCACACGTATGTTGCGTCATCATTCACTGAGTTCATTGGATGCACTTCCGTGCAACACTATGCAGCCTGTTAGAACTGTTCTTCTCTGCGAATAAATCTCAATTCTAAACATTCTGGCCTTTGAGGTTCTATAAACAACACAACGATAATCCATGATACTTTTAGTGTAGTTTCAATGAGAGACAAACTCACAAGACAAAAGAATTTATTTTTTTTAACTTGTTGGACCAAATACTTTATTAATACGCTCTGAAGATAGACACATGCTGATATGTGACAAGTCATACAAAAGTCATTTTAAAATCAATGAAAAAAATATATAAAAAAGAACAGGTAGTGACATAAAAAGATAGTTCAAAAACACCACAAAAAAAAGAAAAAAAATCATATAAAAACTGATACATACATATTATATTAATATATTAAAATAAAACAAGAACAAGTAGTAACACGAAGAGAGAATTCATTAACAATCTTCCCCTGAATAGAAAGAATTTTCATATGCTACATGTCCACAGCCTTAAACAGCAGCCACAACAAGTACGAGAGATACATTTTAATTAGCTGCCTCTAATATGACTTACCTAAACACCATGAATTAGCAGCGATATTAAGCTCATAATATAGCAGTAACTTCACACACAAGCAAAAAGTACTACAGTCAAACCTACTCTCTAACAGCTACCACCTGTCCAAGACAAACACCTGTGCAAACGACCACCTCCCACTTGTATTTTTTTCATATATTCATTGTACAAACGACCACTCCCCACTTTTCCCCTTTCATTTTTTCCTATATCATTGTACAAACGACCACTCCCCACTTGTATTTTTTCCTTTATCATTGTACAAACGACCACTCCCCACTTCTACTCCATTTGCATTTTTTAAAAATATCATACCAACATTGTCCAAAAGGACCACTTCCTGTCAAAGATGACCACTTTTCTCCTCCATAATGGGTAGTCATCTTGATCAAGTTAGAATATTTTTACTGAGAACAAAATATCAATACTAAACTAAATGGGGTTGGGGGTTCCAAGTAGGAAGGGTATCTGAGGTTGAAGCGATGAAGTTCTGTTTGCAGAATTTTGCTGTTGCACTAATGAGTGATACAGCCTACATCTTTAAGATCAGCTCTACAGTTCACAAATGTGTTCAACACACAAAGACTAAAATGTGTCTTATATTCATGAAACTTTTGGCTGGACACGAAATATATGAAAGAATGTCTTTCATGAACAAAGTAGTCATGATGTCACTGCTTCCAAACAGCAAAAGATGACTACTGAACTGATCAAGAGGACATTCAGACTGTGAACACTTCAGATGCCCAGAAAACGTTCTACACATGAACTACCCTTGACATTATATTATATTATATGTTATGAAAGTATAATACATGTATACACAGACACATACGCATGAATGTCTTTTTTTTAAAAAAGACATAGACCGCTTTGAGACAATGAAATTCACTGTGTCAAAACTTCAGAGAAAGTAAGAATACATTCATGAAAATTGTAACTTAAGAAACATAGCCATACAATGTCATAATGTCATAACAACAAACATCTATTCAAAAAACATATAAAGTTATTGTACTATCAGACTCGCAAATGTAAGGAAATTGGCTCGAATCACATCAGGTGGGAATGGGTACCCGGCTATGGATGGCAAAAGATCTTTTCAGTTTGTTAGAGTTTGAGCCCTTACTGCTTGCACTGTGTGCTTCCCGGGAAGCTGAGAATATGTCCGAGTGTTCTATGGTCTGCTGGGGTAATAATGTAGACTGTAAAGCGA